CAACGGCCCTAGATTTTGAGGAAAGTCGGACGGTGATTGTGACGAAGGAAGTGCCGCACGAGGAAATGGTGATGGCGTCTCTCGCAACGGAGGAAAGGGAAGGATGGATGGCACCAATTTGGCTTTTCCTCACCCAAGGAGTAGTACCAGAGGATTCGAAAGAGGCATGGCGCTTACGAAGGAAAGCGGCCCGATGTGCCATAGTTGATGGGGTGTTATACAAGAGGTCACATTTGGGCGCCTACCTGAGGTGCCTAACTGAAGGTGAGGGTTTGGAAGTGATCAAGGAAGTCCATCAAGGGACTTGTGGCATGCATGCAGGCGCCAGAAGCCTAGAAAAAATTCTGCTCCGGCAAGGGTATTATTGGCCAACAATACGGGCGGACGCCGCGAAACATGTGGCAGCTTGTCACCAGTGCCAAATTCACGCCAACGACGTCCACATCCCAGCGGCGCCCATGCAGGGTAATGTAGGCTCCTGGCCCTTCGCATAGTGGGGCATGGACCTCCTGGGCCCATTTCCTAAGGCGCCTGGTCAATTCAAATACCTGATCGTGGCAGTGGACTATTTCACCAAGTGGGTTGAGGCAGAGCCGTTGGCATCGATCACTGAGTCACAGGTCCGGAAGTTCACCAAGAAGAACATCTTCGCTCGATTTGGACTCTCGGAGTCCATCATCACTGACCACGGAAAGCAATTCGATTGTAAGAAATTCATTGAATTTTGCGATGAGAATGGAGTGGTGTTGAGGTTCTCTTCCGTAGCTTACCCACAAGCCAACGGACAAGCTGAGGCGGCCAACAAAAGTATATTACATGGACTGCACACCAGGCTGACGGAGGCCAAAGGCAAGTTGGTGGAGGAGCTGCCGAACGTTCTGTGGGCGCATAGAACCACATTCAAGGTGGCTACGGGCGAGACACCCTTCGCCTTGACATATGGGAGCGAATCTGTTTTGCCCGTGGAAATGCGGGTCCCAACTTTCCGAATGACTCGCCGGGACGAGTCAATGGGCGCCCAGGAGCGGATCGACGAGTTGGACCTATTGGATGAGCGCCGAGAGTTGGCAGCCCTAAGATTGGTCGCAATGAAGAGCCAGGTGGCAAGGTATTATAACAAAAAGATGAGGGCGCACAATCTTGCTGTGGGTGACCTCGTGCTGAAACGAGATTTCCGTCCTAATGCTGCGGAAGGGAAGTTGGCACCAAAGTGGAAGGGGCCATATCGCATTCAGGAACTTGTTGGCCCGAATACGTTTAAGCTGGAAAACATGTCGGGCAAAAGGGTCAAGAGGACATGGAACGCCCAAAATTTGCGGAGGTACGAAATGGAAGGAATGACTGGTGCTGGGCCCACGACAGAGGCACAGGCGCCCGTCCAGGAATAGAGTAAGTAGCAAGACGTTTGTTGGGGAAAGCTTGTTTTGCTTATTTGGTTTAGGTTGAGTTGTCAAAAGCGCCCTTCTTTGCGCCCAAAATTTTGTAAAGCGCCCCACTTGCGCCCGCTCCATGTAAAGCGCCCCCATTTTGCGCCCATTTTCCACAACCGGATTAATTATTATCTACAAAATTTGGCATCAGTTTACCTCGTTGCGCCCATTATAGCGCCCATCATAGCGCCCGCATGTTTGCGCCCAATGCATTGCGCCCGTCATAGAGCCCATTATAGCGCCCGTATGTTTGCGCCTAACATAGCAAGATATAATTATGCAAGTTTGTGCAAGGGTTGCTCAAATAAACGCCCGTCAAAAGACGAAAGTTCATAGGCGCCTAAACGGGGAAGCTCCTCCATATTTAACAAACAGGCACCTTTGAATAGCAAGACTTGATTACGAAATTTTGCGAAGAAAATGAATAGATAGGCGCCCATCATAAGCAAGGGTGTTCATAAATATAGCAATTCGAAGGCGCCTAAAAGAGACACAAACAAAATTCATGACGAGAATGAAATAATTTGGCAGGCGCCTTGACCCATTGCAAGGAAAGCAAGTCAACATAATAAGGAGTTCACAAACCATAAAGTAGAAGAAAATAATATACAAGGGTCGGACACTACGCCGCAGGCGCTTCATTATCAGAGTCGGCAGTAGAATCATCATCGACATCATCTTCGTCTCCTCCGCCTTCCTCAAGCGCCTGGTCATCAGCCAGTGCTTCTTCCTCCACAGGCGCCTCGTCTATGTGGGAAATGACGAAGCTCACCATCGACTGGAGGTCCCAGTCGAGGTCAGGATGATCAGCGAGAAGTTTCCTGCGCAAGACCAGAATACTGTTCAGAGCCGCATCAGCCTTAAGCGCCTGGCCTGCACTTGACTTCGCGAAATCCGCGGATTATTTACCAACTCATCCTTCTCAGCCTCAAGCGCCTGCTTGCCCTTCTCGAGCGCCTGCTTCTCCTCCTTGAGCGCTTGCATCGCACTCGCTTGCTTCTTATTCTCCCTACTCAAGGTCTTATTCTCCTTCTTCAGGGCGCCCTTCTCCTCTTTCAAAATGTCCATCTCACTCCGCAGATCGCCTGCCTCCCTTTCAAGCGCATCCTTCTCCTTCTCCAACCTGACTTTCGTCTCGGCATGCGCCCTCTTCTCATCTTCGAGCCGCCCCTCAAATTCTTCACGCACCTGCTTCCTTTCCTCATCAATCTTTATTTGCACAAGTGAGGCGCTCTTAGCGGCCTCAAGTTGTGCCTCATTGCACATCTGCACCAACTCCTCTTGGCGCCTCTGAGCAGTTGCAAGGTTCTCCTGGGCCACACTGAGGGAGGTGGTGGCCTCGTGGGCCTTGGCGCGTAGCGTCTCGCGCTCAATTATTCCCTTTTTCGCCACCAACATCATCTGCAAAATAGGCATAAGTGCGAGATAAGATGGTCAGGCGTCTGTCATGGCAATATAAACAAAATTTTCGAAGAAAACACAAGTTAAACAACTTACGTGGGCGTTTATTCGGGCCACCTCACCCCAGGGATCGGCGCCCGCCAGGTCTAGGGGCGCCCGGAGTACATCCCCCGCAGACAGCACCATGTGAATGGCGGCGCCCCGTTCCAGCGCTGACCGATCGGAGCAAACTATGTCCACCTTGTGCTTCGGAGGTTGAAGCCACTTCTTCATCCCCTCGGGCACCTCGGCGTCCTCCGACAGGCGCATCCGTTTGCCCGAGCCTTGCCGGGCGCCCTCTGCCTTCCTCTTCTTCCTAAGAGATAAAGGCTCGTTGTCTTCGGGATCGTCGGCTCCCTCGAGCAGGTCAACTACGGGCGCCTGCACATCTGCCGGATCGGTAACAGGAGGCGCATCCCAAGTAGATAACAGATCTCCTAAAGGCTCCGACGCCTAGGGGCTCGGAATCTTCGTGGGCTGAACTTTCTTCGGGGATTTCACCCTTCTGCTTGGGCGCCCCTGCCCCTTGCTGGTAGCGGGGACAACCTTCTCCTTTTCAGTTGGGGCATCCCGCACTTGCTTGGAGCCGGCGCCTTTGGAGGAAGTGGGCTTAGCAGCGCCGCCGGACTTCTTGCCGCCTTTCTTGGCAGTAGGCGCCTGCTTGGCCACCAACCCAAGTTGCGCGAACCGCAACTTCATCAGTAGACCCATGGAAGTGAAGTTGGAGCCTGCACAAAAAAAAAGGTTGGTTAGATTTAAAAAAAAAAAACTAGGCGCACACCATCATTGTAATACTCCTCCAAGACAGGCGCCCGGGAGCTGGTGGGGCGAAGGTTAACTGGGTATAAAGAAAGGAGTCGGGCGCCTTCAATCTCCTCAGCGGTGGAAAGGGTCACATCAACATTAAAGGGCTCATGACTGCCCATTACCCAACCCCTGGTGAAGGAGGCGCCACTTTCATAAAAGGAATCCTTATGCGCCTTCACGAAAAAGTAACTCCTAAACCACTCCCTCCCTAATTTAGGACAATCTATTAGAAAATGGCCGGGGAGACCTAGGCGCCTCTGCAGTGATAGGCAATTATCGGAGTACATCATGTTGAAGAAATAATGGAATAGGTTGAAGGTGGGCTCGACGTTATGCTGGCGACACTTCAACTTAAATAAAATATGTATAAGGAAAACGGAGGGGGACAGGCGCCCAAGCGAACATCCACAAGTAGTCAGAATTCCCTCGAGGATAGAATCGAGGGGGAATCGGAGTCCAAAACGAAAGTACTCCCTGTAGATGCCAAGCCATCGAGGTCCGACTACTCCAATACGGGCCATACTGGGGGCAGGCGCATAGGACCAAGAGCGCGGAAGTTGCATTGACACGGCGATATTCTCTAACTCCAAGGATTTTATTGTTGAAATTTTACGTGGCCCTCCTTCATGAAGCGGGAGATGGTGTGTTTCGTCAGGCGCTTATCCCGACGGCCAGGTGTCTACCCATCTCTTAAGCTTAATGGAATCACCCCCCTCGGCGTCCGAGTCCGAAGACGGTGGAGACATTGTGTGTCCGGAAGAATGTGATGATCCGGGCGAGGCGCCTATAAGGGTTGATGCAAAGGTGGTATCAATTCTAAACCCTATAGACTGCAGGTGCCGTCCCTAAAAAAAAAAAAATCGAATTTGTTACTTACTTGGTTGGGAATTCGAGGGCGCCGATTTGTCACTAGCAGGGTTTGCAGGGGGCTTCGAGGGAGGCGCCGCCGCGCCCTTGTCCGCAGTGTCACGTGTAGACGTGGCCTGAGAGCTGAGTGGTTTAGCGTCGCTCTTGCTAGACGCTTGAGATCTGGCGCGAGGAGTCCAGGCGCCCTTCTCACGGAGCGGGTCAGGAGAGAAGTGCCCCTCCAACTCCTGTAAAACATCGGGTTCCGAGGGCTTATCTTTCGGTGGGATGGCTGAGGGGGCGCCCAAGCCGGAGTTGTTCGACATTTTGAGGAAGTAAGACGGAGATGGGAGGCGCACAGGCAGCTCGACCTAGAGAGAGAAAGTCGGAGCAAGGTAGAGAGAGAGGGGATTCGTGCGAATGAAGAGGGGAGGAGGCGGAATGTGGTATTTATATGAGGAGGAGGCCAACGGACATCTACGGGGATGCGCGCCCGACCCCCCACATCTCATCCTCACCGTTCGTTTGAATTTTGAATTTCAAAAAAAAAACGAATTTTGAAATTCAAATTTCAAAACGCACGGAGAGGGGGGCATACGGGTACGGGCGCACCGGGGATTCCACTACTAGGGCGCCTAACTTAATGGCCTAGGCGCCTCCTTGGGTACGTCCAAACGCGGATGAAAAACAAAGGACGAGGGAGCCATAGTACGGGGGGACAAGGGTTGTTCACGAAAACGCTCAGGAAAGCGCCTAGAAATGATCTAAACGGTTAAAGCAACCAGGCTCTCGTCGAACTATCGAGGGCGCCCAGACCACCGCGAAGTCGGTTAGACACTATGGGCAGGGGAGTTACGTACAGTTAGACACTCATGGCATACCATGAGCGCCTAACTGGGGGACAATTGTTGGGTATATACATAGGCAGACCATTGGGGGACATGGGCCCGTCCAAGAGGCTCAGGCCCAAGCCCGCTTTAGGAGATGGGGATGAAAATAAGGAGTAAGGGCCAGCCGACGGCCCACAGGCGCATGGCGACAAAAAGGGACCACCGTGCTTAGAGCGTGCCACCTGGACAGGTGGTCCCTGCAGGCGCCAGGAGCCAGGAGCCCAGAAGCTGCCACGTGGAGGCGCCCGACCGGTGGGCCGTACCAAGCGTTTAATGACGCGCTGACGTGGAGCTGGATTCTAGGAGCCTGGTCGGGGCCTCGACGAATATAAATAGTACTCGGTAGGTAGCATTTACGTAGGTTGGTTTCTCTCACTAAGATCCCCAAATTACTTCTCTCTCTAAACTGAGGACTGACTTGAACGTCGGAGTGCTAACGGGCATTTCAAAGCCCTTAGGCGTCCGTCTGTGCAGGATCTGGGCGTCTGTGGAGAAGTCAATCGTGCGAAAGTTCGGAGGAACGGGTTCGAGGGTTACGTGGCATCAACAGAAACATACACAAGAAACTGGTTACTTGTTCTTCTGAAGGTTTAAGAGAAGATGCTAATCAACGTGGACAAAGAAGATAGGAAGAGCACTTTGATTAATTCACTGGGATTGCTGTTTCAGACCCTAAGAATATGAGGGTAGATATTACAAAATCCACATCAATAACAAAAACTAAACTACAACATTTCATCAATCCACTTTAGATGAGTTGTCAGCTTCTTCGCGACTTCTTATTTTCGCGATCATAATTGTTCTGTGAAGGAGCATCCTTGACAACGCTGCCGTGCTCTGTTATCTGGGCGACTTCATATTTCTCTTTGCTTCTCCTTTTCTTGGGAGTGCTACACAAATTAAATTTTGAGGAAATGGCATGAGAGACTAGATAGACTGATTAAGCAGTGGTGAGGAAAAGGGGTTCCAGTGTCGCCGGAAGATTTTGGAAAGAAAACCTGTTAATTGTAACACTTTCTGTATGCTCTGAAAATTTCTCCAATATCTTGACGCTTCCAGTGTTAGCAGGCATCAATGATCCGTAGATGTGAAGCGTCTCTTCATTCATACTGCGAAAAATGACAAACGCGGATTTAACTTTCATACTCCCTTAATTATCTAAGCATAAATATCCAACTATGTAGTATGAAAATGAAAACAATGGATGAACAAAGATGACAAGGTTCAGGTTGCTGAACTACTGATTGGAAATTATATAAACTATGGCATTTATGCAATCTACAGAAAATCAATGATCAAATGCTAAATCTTCTTCTTTGAATTTCTGCGTTGATGGTTATGCTTCATTCTACGATTTCATAATCTCAGAAGGGTTTGCTAGGTACTGGAATTACAGAATACTTAATATCAGCAGACCTTTTGGAGTAGAACTACTTAATTACTATCAAATCTTGAAGAAGAATAAGAGAAGAAAATGTTACCTCTTGATAACAAAACGGATCATAGTTCCAGCCTTAATCACATGGCGCCTGTTAGATCTGTTGACATACAAGCCCTGGCCGTGTTTCTACATCAAGAGAAACCACCACTCCCAAGTAAGTTTGACATCAACAGCATCAACATCTCTATCTCAACAAAAATAAAGAAAGGCACGGTACACAACCCTCAATAATGACAACTGCTAAGCATACCGTCTTGTATTTGAACTCGTTGCGGATAGCTTCATATGTTATTATAGCCGACGAGAATCCAAGAACAATGACATGAATAGACTCTTCAGTCACTTTCACCACCTTCCCTTCTGTAGTGTTCAGAACAAAACATTTGCTCCAAATTACTTAAAACCAATCGTCTGATCCGGAAAGAGGAACAATGTCTATCAATGCGGAAGGGTACCTAAGAGCATGTCTGCCTTAGGGGAAAAGACTAGCAATTTAGCTTCTAGTCTCACAGCAATGAACGGATGAACACCGGGAAGAATTCGCCCCTTGTTCTCCGGAGCATGAACATTATAAGCTAATAAAACACCGTCGAATGCATCATCGTACCTGCAATATCCACACCAGGAAATGGATATTCTTAATGAACACTGGAACTTCCCGCAATGAGCCCGCAAATTAAGCTATCTCACAGTTCGCAGAATAGCTCTGCACACAGCCGCCCTGTAACTTATCACTCCATAATCATGGAGTGTGGAAGTTGTACATTTCTACTATTAAAACCAAAGCAAGGTTAACCCAATTGAAGCAGAAACTAGCTGAGCAAAACCATGATTCAAGAAACCCCCCACAAGTTCCCTAGCTTCGAACCACTGGGCACCAAGTTGCGCAAGTCTACAAATGGAACTAGTACGGGAAATTGAGAGAAGAAAACCGAGCAGAATAGGAGTAAAGACACGAACTTGAAGAGCAAGGGGCTGAGCTCGCGGAAGATAGCTGAAGAGAGATTCTTGCTCTGCGAAGGGTCGACGTAGACTTTCAAATTGGCTTGGACCACGCTTAATCCTTCCATTCCGGAGCAATCAGGGCGAGTTTCAACAACCTCAATCCTGGGGGGGATTTTTTTTCCTTTTCCGCGGCTATTCCGGATTCGGGAAGCGTCGTAGGGTTTTCCCCTGCGGCCCTAAACCCTTAAAGTAGCCAGGTTTCAAGCAGAACAGCAGCCATTGTCGACGAAACAGAAACTGTCTGGTGGGAAGCTCTTTACAGTTACAGAGATGGTTAGCTTAACAGTGGAGTGGACTCATTCTGAAAAAAGGCTTTACAAGTTGTCCATTAGAAAGGCCCAGTTTAGGTTCATATTTGGGCTACCAGTATATAATTTTATTTGATATCATTGGGCCTGTACAAGTCCAGGTCTTCCGTCGCCAATCGCCATCATGTTCAAAACATATTATGTGTTCCTTTCATGGGATGGGAAGAGTTGGCAAATGGGTTGGATTCATGGATCAAATGGATTGGATTCAATGTATTGGTGGATTCATGGATCAAGTGGATTGGTGGATTATCCATGAATCCAAATGACGTTCTCAACCAAGTACTAATATGTAAAATGTGAAAAGTTTAGGTACTAAAATGTCATAATGAAAAATTTTAGGTACCAAAACGTAATTCCAATGATATTTTTCGTGTAAAAATTAAATTTTAATGGATTGGATTAGGTGAATATTTTTAATGGATTGGTGGATTGGATTGAGAATTGCCACCTACATGTGATCGAGAGATTTTGCTATAATATTTCATTTTGTCGAATTTTGACTAAACAATTCGATTAATAAAGTGATAGATTTCTTTAGTAGAGGTTTAAAAAACTTGTAGTTTTGAGTATTTTTTTTAAATAACTTAATCTCACTGCCATTAATCTATTTAGTAACCTTCCTATACTAATAGTTACGTACCAAAGGTTACGTTGTGTTATTTTTGTCCACTTCATCACCAATAAAAATGTTCATTACATGTGAAGCTAAGCTACACGATTTTAATTGGGGTTATAGGTATAATATGACCTTCTACTGTACAGTTTTATCAAATATGCCCTTCTACTATTTTTTACATCAAACATACCCTTAAACTTTGAAAAAATTATCAAACATACCCTTTTGTTAAAATTTCCATAAAAAAATGGTAAACCACGGTTAAACCGAGATTCACACGACCCGACATCGAAAAAATTGAGGGAGAAATTTCAATTTTTCCTCCTCATTTATTTTTCCAGGTCTCGTTAAAGTGAAATTATTAGAGGTATTTGGCTATACAAAAGAAACAAAACAATTCTAAAGTGAAATTATTAGGAATATTTTACGGGTGGATTCTGCGTTCGCCAGAAGAAAAGAAACTTCGGAGGACTAGGCCAAAGCTCGTTGCCGGTTGGTCAACCCATCGAATGCTTATAATTCTTTGTCGAGGAAGGAGGGGATATGCTAAGCTCGATGAATGGAGGAAAATCAGGACCGGGGGAGGGGTAGATTGATGGTGTGGACTGTGGAGGAAGGAATAGGATGGGGTACGAGGGTCACGGCGATACTATGTCGCCTTTGTTAAGTTGTTGGTGGAGTAAAACAGGGGGTGGTTCGGAGAAGAAGAAGATTAGGCAGAGAAGGACGAGTCAAATGGGTTTTTATTTTATTTTTAGTTAGTTTTTTTAATTAATCATAATCCACATGTATAATTATAGAGGAAAAGGAAAATAAGAGCTCGCCACGTAAGCATCTCCGTTTGTCTAGTCACACTTAACGCTAACATCGTTAAAGAATCGGACGGAAGTGGCTATAAGTGGTATTTCTCCAAATTTGGCTATTATTGGCACAAACGTGAAAGTTTTGGCTATACAAGTGCATTTTGCCTTTAAATTACTTATATTTCAAATGCTAGTATTTCATATTTTAAAGTTTTGCCTTTAAAATAGTAGAAGGGCATGTTTGATAAAACGTTATAGTAAAGGGGCATATTATTATACCTATAACCCATATTTGAAATACACCTATAAACGCAATAAATTTCACCAGTTTCATTTTTATTATTGAAGTTGAACCCATTGACCAAACAAAAAACGTCAAAATCGCATGCCATCCTCGAGATGCATGCGCTCTGCAAGTGTGCCTTCGTTTGCACTTCCCCAGCCCTAAGCCCCAATCGGAAGGTGAATTATCATTATCTACTTTGTTTATAGTTATAGTATCTATTTTGTTTATAGTTATACCTTGGATTAAACTATGGGAGGGAATTTTTAAACCTCACAGTCCAAAAAAAAATGCTGGGAGCTCTCCAGTCTCTCCTCCGGTGGGGGAGATCGTTTGGACACTTCCTGGTCTCCATGATCACTACTCTCTTCCTTCGATGCCTTCGGAATCAGGGCCTCTCTGGTATATGGGGGGCTGGTGAACAACGGAGATCGTATCCAAAAGGAATATGTGAAAAGGCGAAGGCTGATCCACCGGGCAGACCGCCATGTCAAGGGCGACGAAGAGGTGACCTTTACAGGTGCGACCTGTCGCCCGCAAGAAAATACCGTCCAAAGGATGGTTATCGCAAGAGGAAGCTTGGGCTTGTCCTGGCAGAGAATATGATTCTCGAAAATAGGAAACGAAAACGGCTATCGAAGATAGCAGTTTGGAGATTCGTCATCCCGTCCATGGAGGATTGGGAGCAGGTGTCACTGGACCAACCGGCGGATTTGTTGAAGACGAGAAATTCCGAAACCGGGGAATTCCCTGGACCAGTCACTGTCTCCAAAGATATAAGGCCAATACAGGCCATGTTTACATCTAATATAAACCGATCGATTTCTGACCCAAACTGTGGGGATATGAAGTCTGAGGAGTATGCCCTGCAATCGCCGATCAGTGCTGCCGGTGAGTATCCGATCAGCGCCGCTGGTGAGCATGTCTGGTCCTCGGCTCAGGCCCGAGATGGCTCCCTGATTCGGCGGATAACGGTTGGGGATACTGTGGAGGAAAATCCTCTCCCCAAAGTCGTTGAGAAATCTGTTGAGATATTCCAACAATTAGTTAAAACAACCTTCGGGTTAAAAAAGAGTCCCTCTTGGAGACAAACACAATTCCCTAATACATGCGAGAGTATGCAAATCCCTGGGGGAAGATTTGACTTCCATTATAAAAGACTCCTGCTTTGGCCGACTGTTCTCACATCTTGCCCGAGAAACCGACCATTGACGAGTAAAGTGGCTGATCATTCTTCTCCTAGGCGCGCCCTCAACTCAGGTATGGACCTGTTTCCTTTCCAGGGCATGTGTACTTGGCCTTGTGATCTTGCTAAACAACAGAGAATAAGACCCCCCGCTGTTCCTGGTTCCCTATCTTGCGAGCGGGGTTGTCCTTCCTCGAAAGGCTCGTATGAGCCTGAGGTGCGTAAGTATTTGCTGGAGGAGCTTACAATGACATCTGCTCCCCCTTCTTTGCAGGTTACCACCATGGCTCACTTCTCGAATGATCAAGTTGTACAATTCTCAATGGAGGAGGTGCAATCGACAAGATACCGAGCTGCACACTCGCTCCTTGGCAGAGTCTTCACGGAGAACAGGATCTCTACCACCGAACTCAGGGAATCGGTGATCGCTCCGTGGTTGATTCAGGGGCGCATCCGCGTGGTCCAGGCAAAGCATGGCCTCATTGAATTCATGTTACCTAATGAGGAGGCTAGGAATTGGATCCTCAAACGGTCTCCATGGGTGATCAATGACAGAATCATTCACCTTCGGGCATGGACACCGATCATCACGAAGCAGATTTATGATGATCTCGCGATTGCTCCGTTTCGGATCCAGCTGTGGGATGTCAGAGAAGACTGTTGCACTCAACAGTTTGGCCGAAAAATGGTGCAAACCACGATTGGGAGAGTCTTAGAGTCAGGAGTCTTTACCTGCCAAGACTCGGGCAGCTGGTTCGTAAAGGTAAAGGCGCTCGTTGATTTCTCCAGACCTCTCCGATCCCAGATACTGGCGTCTAATGATGACACTGGCCGGTTCTGTGTTAGCCTCAAGTACGAACATCTTCCAAGCTTTTGTTTCCACTGCGGCCGAGTGGGACATTCAAGCCGATCTTGTACGTTCGATCCTCCAGCTCGGATGGAAAACTATGGACCCCATATGATTACAAAAAAATTGGGGACTCGGATTTATGATGCTGATGATCAAGTCCAGCCGTTTGCTTGAGGGGGAAAATCGGTCTGGGTCAATCGTGACTATCGGCAGCAAGGTCCCGGGAAATCGGCAGCGGGAGTGCAGAGAGAGCAGGGAGGTAGATACCCAACTCAGCCTAATAGGCAACCGAAGCAGATGGCGGCGGAAGAATCCTCGGTGCAAACGGCGGGGCAACGCCGATTAAGCCCTCGAGGGTTCAATGTGTCGCGGTCGCCGGTGAGAAGACTGGGCCGTACTCGTTCCCCGAGGGCCTCGTCTGCTGCTAGCTCGGACGACCCTGCTGGCGGCCATCCTGTGACGAGGATGAGGGAGCGGGGGCTGGCTTCATCTGATGGGGATGGTGAATCTCTAGGGAACTATCGGGAGAGGCGGGAGGGTGAATCCGAGCTTCTCCTGAAGAGCTCTGGTAATGGGGGGGGCCCACGCCGGCGGAGAGGCACAGACCATCAAGATTACGCCGGAGGATGCTCGCCGGAGGAGGCTGATAATTGAGGATTGGGAGGATGAGTCTCCCATTCCTGCGAGGCCAAAGGAGGATAAGGTGGAGGGTGGGGAGACGAAGAAGAAGGGAAAGCGCCTCTCTAAGATGGTGGCGGTCAGTGATGGGCCCAAAGTGGCCTCGGCCCGCAGGGCTCCAGCCCAAAAAAAGAAACAGACTGATACGGCTCGGCCAAACAAAACTGCTGGGGTGACCCGAAAGAAAAAGGGCCTGGCCCAATCTCCGGTTGTCAAAGAGGCGGGTATGGGGAAGGCGGCCCACTCGGCTGAGATGGCACCTGCGCAGGCCCTTGATCCGGCGGCCCAGGGAGAGTCCCTAATGGTGGAGGAGCCCAATAAGGCCGTGGGGATGCCTTCTCCCAAAGGGTCGTCTTCAGAGGAGGATGAGCAGCGTTTTGTGATCAAGGCTCGTACCACACCAACAAAGCTGCATAGCCAGGTTCTCCCAGGACAAGTTCGTCAGGTGGTTGCGGCTTTTGAAGCTAGTATGAGTATTAATGAAGAAAGTAATATAGTGCAAGGGGTGGTGGATGGGATGAACCCTAACCTCAACGAGTACGGGTCTAATTTGGTGACTGGGACTCGTAAGCGTTCGCTGAATGAGCTGGAAGGAGGGTTTGAGGAAAGCCCCACACCTAAAAAGAAATTTGTGGAAGAGCAGGAGATAACTGAATCGGTGGAGGAAGCCAGCCGTGAGTGGCCCCAAGAAGATAAATGAAGATGTTAGCCTGGAATGTGAGAGGAATTGGACCATCCCTCACGTTCCAAACGGCTGTTGGGTTGGTTCGATCGAATAATCCGGACCTTGTTTTCTTTTCAGAGACTCGGTCGTCCCGGAGAGTAGTTACCCGGCGCTTGCGGGGTTTAGGTTTTGAGTCGTCGGATTGTTTTTTTGTTGATGCCATTAATTATGCTGGTGGTCTTGTTCTTGCTGGGTCCCCCGGAGTGGAGATTTCGGTTTTTTTTTTCATTCTAGTTTTTGTATTTGTTCGAGGATTAATGAGAATGGTTCTTCTTATGTGGTGCTTTGTGTTTACTTGAGTTGTAATACCGCTGTGCGTGCAACTCAATTGACTCAGATTCGTGAGATTTGTGACATCCTTGTTCTCCCTTATGTGATCATTGGTGATCTCAATGTTACCCTAAATGCCGGGGAGAAAGAGGGTGGGAACCCTTGGAATGCTACCCAATCCATGGACCTCAGAAATATGATCCAGGATATAGGGCTGCATGACCCTGGGTACCAGGGTGATCCGTTCACCTGGACCAATAAAAGGATGGGGATGGCATGTATCAGGGAGAGGCTAGACAGGGCCCTTTGCTCTCAAGCCTGGATGGATACTTTTCCTGATATGCTTGTCAAGCATTTCACGGATCAAGGTTCGGATCACCGGGCTTTGCTTCTGTCTGATAAACCTTATGTCAGGATGTGTCGCCCCCTTTTTCGTTTTGATGCTCGTTGGGCTGAAAATCCGGAGGTTAAGGCTATGGTTTCCTATGTTTGGCAGGAACAAATACAAGGTAATCCGATGTTTCAGTTTTGGGAGAGATTGAAGAAGCTTCGTCATCTGTTATATGACTGGAGCCGGGCAGGGACAACCAACTCCCTTCGTAATATCCAAACCTTGAAAATTGAGATTGAACGGATAAAGGCTGTTCACCCGATCAATTGGGAGGCAGTGGCGGGGTTGGAAACGGAGTTAAGTAGGCAGTGGGAGGCAGAAGAAGAATATTGGCAGCAAAAATCCCGAGTCCGATGGCTGAAAAGAGGAGACAAGAACTCCTCTTACTTCCATACGATCACGAGAACCCGTCGTAAAAGAAACTTTGTTGCTGGGTTATATAATGCGGGGGGTGATTGGGTAACGGAGGAGCGTGGAAAGGCTGAAATAGCTACTGATTTCTATCAATCCCTTTTCACTTCGGAAAGCCAGGTGCATAATATGGCTGATAGGGTGGCGGACCTACCGATTGGGTCAAGTGTTACCCAGGAGATGAATGCGAACCTCACGGCGGTAGTCCTTCCTGAGGAGATTCGTAGAACTGTCTTCTGTATGGGCTCGAAACAGGCGCCAGGTTCAGATGGCTTTACGGGGAAGTTCTTTAAAGCCTTTTGGGAAATAGTTGGGGATTCAGTGATTGATGCGATCAGCTCGTTCTTTGAAAATAGTCGGATGCTCCGTAGTTTCAATCATACCTGGCTAACGCTGATTCCCAAGGTGGACCAGGTGGAATCCATACGGCAACTTCATCCCATTAGTCTGTGCCAGTTTGTGTACAAAATAATTACTAAGATTATGGCGGAGAGATTGGCTGGTGTGTTGCCCGAAGTTATTTCGACGGGCCAGAACGCTTTTATTCGGGATAGGCAGATCGTGGAGAATATCCTCCTGGGGCATGAGTTGATGCACTACCTGAAAATCAAAACCAGTGGAAAGAAGGGATACATGGCTTTGAAGGTTGACATGGAAAAGGCCTATGACAGAGTCGAATGGTCCTTTCTACTTGCGGATTTGGAGAAGATGGGGTTTAGCTCGGTCTGGCGAGGGTGGGTTCAAGAGTGTTTGCAATCGGCTTCTTTTTTGGTCCTCATGAATGGAGCTCCCTCAGGATTCTTTAGGTCTTCTAGGGGGCTCCGGCAAGGGGACCCTCTCTCCCTTCTTCTTTTTGTGCTCTGCACGGAGGGGTTCGCGGCCCTGCTTCGAAAGGCCATCTCGGAGAAGAGGTTAGAGGGGGTTAAAGTTGCGCCTCGGGCTCCTCGGATATCTCACTTGTTCTTTGCTGATGATTCTTATTTGTTCCTCCGCGGTTCACTCCAGGAGTGTGAGAATCTCATTGAAGTTTTGAATGAGTATGAGGAGTTAAGTGGCCAAAAAGTGAACTTGAATAAGTCGGCGGTCTGCTTTAGTAAGAATATCTCCTTGCCTGATCAGGAGTTCTTAGGGGCTATTCTTGGGGTGGGGGCTGTGGGTGTGCAGGATAAGTATCTGGGCCTCCCTACCTTGATACCACGTTCCAAGATGGTAACTTTCCGATATCTGGAGGAAAAATTGATAGAGCGATTACAAGGGTGGAAGCGGAGGACTTTGTCTTGGGCGGCTAAAGAGACATTGATAAAGTCGGTGGCTTTGGCCCTGCCCTTACATGTGATGTCCTGCTTCAGGCTTCCGCTGGCTCTCTGTCACCTGCTGGATAAACATGTAGCCAGATTTTGGTGGGGAGTGGAGGAGGGCCAATCCAAAATTCGGTGGATGTCTTGGCGGAGCTTATGTCGCAGTAAACATGAAGGGGGGATGGGGTTTCGTAGGTTTGAATTATTTAATCAGGCTCTGTTGGCTAAAATTGGGTGGCGCATTTTGACTGAACCACACTCTCTGTTAGCCCAGGTTTACAAAGGGAAGTATTTTCCAAATGGATCGTTCCTCTCAGCCACGACTAGATCCCGACCATCTTGGGGATGGCAGAGCATTCTGTTTGGACGCCAGGTGCTATCCAAGGGTCTACGGTGGCAGATTGGTAATGGTCAAACAGCTCCTTTATTTGAGTCAAAGTGGATCCCTCAGAAATCCGACGTCCCCCTAGTGTTTAACCCCCGTGTGTTGCCGATGGATGGGGAGGTGAGGGTTGCGGAGGTGATCTGTGCTGGGGAAGGGCGCTGGTGTGATGCTAAGTTAGGCCGATGGTTTGATCCTCCAACTTGTCGAATGATTAAAGCTATCCCCCTTCCGCGTCAGAATGTTGAAGATCGCTTGATCTGGGAAGGCACATCAGATGGTGTCTTCTCAGTGAAATCGCGTATCACCTTGCGGTTGGGTTGGATCAGCAGAATGGTCGATGGAGGGCTCGGGTTAGCTGGATGGATAGGGAGAGTTGGATCCGGCTTTGGAATGCCAATATTCCCCCTAAGTTGAAGGTGTTTGTTTGGCAGATTTTTAATAGAATCCTCCCGACAACTGAAGCGCTCATTGAGCGAGAAATGGAGGTTCATCCTCGATGTCCGGTTTGTTGGGAAGCGGTGGAGACAATGTATCATGTGTTCCTGGCTTGTCCAGTGGCTAGGGCACTTTGAGAACAGTCGGGTTTGGAGTATCTTGGGGAGGGTTTGCCCCAGTATACATTCCCTTTCTTCCTGAAAAAACTGTTCTCTATTCTGCACCAGCCCACTCATTTCATGATGATCACTGCTGTCCTCTGGAGGATATGGAAGTCTCGTAACTGGGTTGTCTTTGATGGTAAACAATTTGGGATTCCTGCTTTAATGAGGCAGTATAATCAGCAGGTAAATGAGTGGTTACGATTGCCGCCGAATACTCAGTCCGCTCCGGTGCCCAACTAGCGTCGTACTGGGGGGACGGGGGGGTGGGGGGGCTGTGTGTCGGTGGGATGGGGCAGTCCGTAGGGGGTCACACTCTGCTGGTGGAGTGGTAGCCTGTGATGCGATGGGGGGCGTCCTATGGGTTAGGGGGTTGCAGTTCCCGTTCATCGAGGATCCCATGGTAGTGGAACTTCTAACACTCCGGGAGGCTATTGCCTGGTGTTTGGAGCGTGGTCTTTCGGAGATGCGGTTTGAAGGGGATGCCAAGGTTGTCATTGACAAGGTCTGCCAGAAGGATGTGAGGTATTGTCATGTAGGGGCTATCCTGGAGGAGATTGTGCAGATGCTGGGGGCTAATGCCGGGTTGAGTGTGCGATTTATAGGTCGGGATAGCAATATGGTAGCTCATTTGGTAGCTAGGAAGGCCCTGTCTTTGTCCCCGACAATGAGTCGGTTGTTCGATTTTCAGGCCTGGCTGAGATCCAGGATGTAACTACCTATTTTTCGATCAATATATGATTATCTTTTGTAAAAAAAAAAAAAAATAGTTATACCTTGTTTTTATTGTTTGTTGGACTAATAGTAAACGAGTAATCTTGTATTATATTGCAACCCTAATTACCAAACTCTTTTGTTTCGAAAGCTTGAGAATCAGAACCTTATTTTAGAATACACGTATGTTTTAGAAACGTATACGGTAACCTAATTACTTGTAATTTTTTATAAGAGTGACATCATTTATCTATTAAAATTGGTTATGCAAAGAAAACAGAGTTGAGAACCAGCAGCATACAGAATTGGATCAACAACAATGCAGTGCAGTACAAGCTAGCTCGATGACAAAAGTAAGATTTGAAATTATCCATGTTTTCTATTCACAATATAAATATTGAATTAATAATTATTTAATAAATATAATTAAAACTAATAATATTCAAATATTTCATTCATAGATAAAATATAACCGACTAATACAATTATTGTTTTCATAAATAACCATGACGGGATTTCATATTGTGAAATGAACGCAAATAGATTCGTTGTTTACACTCTTAAGTAAGTCTCTTTTAATATATCTCACTAAACAATCATTAGCAAGTTGGTCACTAGTTCGACTTGAAAATCTGTTCTTAATATAAATCAAAGTTGAAAATGCTCTTTCTACACTGCACTGGCAGTGGGACGGCGGTCTGGGCCACGATGGTGAGCCTCGTCCAATCGTCTTGATTTTTCTCTTGCATATCTCTCTTGGGCTTAGACGACTCCATGTAAGACTTAAGCTCAACTGGGTTTTGTTTTATATGTGAAAACCTCCAATTTCTTCTAGACTTTTGCCTTATAGATCTCCAACTTATTGACTTCTTAATCCAATATTTGATCCAAATTCTCCTTGACTGTATTTAATCCTGAAATGCACAGAAAAATACAAAGAAGGAATAAAACAACACAAAAATACAACTAAGATCTAAAATTAGCACATTGATCATATAGTTTTATTTTTTATTGGAAGGAGGCAAAGTGCGGGACAATGACACAAATATTGTTTTTTTTTAAATTTACCAATATGGCGGATTAAAAAGTATTGACACAGACATTGTGTTTTGGAGAAAAGAATCGGCGAGACCACCTGAGACTCAGGCGCTGCCGCTTTTGCTGACTTTTTGGATCGTTTTATTTATTTGACAGCGGCGGCGCCCAAGACTCTGGTGGCACCGCCTGAGGCCTAAGTGAGTTGGTGGGAAATCATCCCAGGCAGTGGCGCCCAAGACTAAGGTGGCACCGCTGGCTTATTGTTGGCCACCCACCTTATAAAAACCAGCCAATTTCATTTCAGATTCACACCACAAAAAAAATCGTCCAAGATAGAGGAGAGAGCTCTGGTTGCTGCTGCAAAAATGGCTAATAGGTAAGAGACACATTTATTTTTGTAATTATATTATTCAAATGCTATTTTGATTGTGTTTAGTTTTAATTAGTGAGTTTGTTTTTTTTAGTGATTTTAGAAGATTTGAACTAGTCGTTCGGTGGAAATCGGAGAAAGTAGAGGATAATTTGGGCATCAAATTCGTTGGTGGTAGTAGTTTTCAGTTGACGGTTCCATCCAGGGTCACGTATCACAAACTTTGTGAGAATCTAATTCCGAGAATACGGCGTAGAGACGAAGCAGTACAAGATAGTGATGTGATCACAGGTTTCACTTACCGTCTTCCAGAATGGCAGAATGGTGTTTTATTTCATTATGCGATGCCTATTGTGGATGATGATAGCTTGAATGTGCTTTGGAATTTTATGGCACAAAATCCTTATTGTTTGGGTGCTGAGGTACATGTTGAGCTTAGTGAGGATCAGGGTGGAGAGGAAGAAGATGATACATGGAGCGTGCCATCCGATCATGACTATGATGATGGTGATGACGGAGAGGAGGAAGATGAGGAGGAGGAGGAGGAGGAAGAAGAAGAGGGGGAAGGAGAGCAGCCTAATTATCCTCCATATATTTACTTGCATGGTAATGAAGAGGACGAAGAATTATCACTTGCCGATTCATATGGCGTAATTCCAATGCCTATTGTTGATAGTTTTGAAGGAGAATTCTACAAGGGGCAGATATTTCACTCAAAACAAGCTGCACAGATGGCGATTAAACACCATGCACTACAACGCAACTTTCAATATGGCGTGGTGGAGTCGTCACCTTCAATCTGGAAGGTCAGATGCTTGAGGCACAAGGATGACAATTGTCCTTGGATGGTGCAGTTTGGATGTCGAGATGTTGGAGGCGAATGGACTGTGAGAAAGGCTGAGTTGGTGCATTCTTGTAGCAGTACGACTCAACCGACGGATCATCGCCATCTTGATGTTGACATGATATCTGAGGCCGTCAAACATTTGGTACGTGCCCAACCAAATCTGAGTGTTCTAATTGTTCAGGCCGAGTTGAAAGATAAGTTTAATATGCAAGTTACTTACAAGAAGGCTTGGTATGGGAAACAAAGAGCATTGGAGAAGTTGCATGGAAATTGGGAATAATCCTACGCTTTTTTGCAAACATTCTTGCAGGTGGTCAAGAGAAAAATGCCAACATTGGTGATTGATTGGGTAAGAGTTCCTTCGACTCAACCAGGTCATTCAATATTTCAGCGAGTATTCTGGGCTTATGGACCTTGTATAGATGGATTCAAGAATTGTCCAGGCGTCATGGTTGTTGATGGAACATTTCTTACTGGAAAGTATAAAGGAGTGCTACTCATGGCGAGCTCATTTGATGGTCGGAAGAAGATTTTTCCAATTGCATTTGCCATAGTGGAGAGCGAGAATACTAAGAGTTGGCCATGTTTCATGAGGAACGTTCAGGGTTTGACTGATCGAAATGATGTATGCATCATCTCAGATAGACATGCAAGACTCTATGAAGCCATGAATAACATCGGAAGAGGTTGGGAGTGGAGGTGGTGCATGCGACACTATGCAAGCAATTTGCAAAGGAAGACTAAAAACAGAATTATGTATAAGCAACTATTTCGAGTCGGTAAGCCTTCTTCATTTAATTTTGTTATTTATTTTCATGTAATTTTGTCATGAATTTATCAACCCGTGTGGTTGTTTATTTTGTTAGCCGGAGAAAAATGGTTGGAGAAGTTCGATCGTCAAGTTGAGCAATTTAAGAAGGTGGCCACTGATAGAAATATTTCATGTGATAAGTGGGTGGATCAACATCAGATTCGTTGGAGTTTAGCACATGATAACTACAATGGTGGGCGTCGTTGGTCTATCCTGACATCCAACATGGCAGAAAGCATCAATGGTGTTTTCAAAGGTATTCGCGCACTTCCTATAGCTTCTCTTGTGCAACATACCTATTGGCGATTGGTGGAGAAATTCGATAAGTACATGTTGGAGACAGGAGCAGAAATTAGAAGTGGTCATTCATAGTACTCCACCAAGTGCGAAGAGCTGATGAAGCCGTGGTCACAAAAGGCAGTTGGACATTCTGTAACAGCTCTTAATCAAAGTCAAGGCATCTATGTAGTTCAGACTCCTCCCAACAATTTCAACATGACGGGGTCAAATACACTCACAGTGCACTTTGACGACCAAAACCGAGCGGGATTTTTCACATGTGGTAAATTTCAGGGAAATAAAATTCCTTGCTCTCATGCCATTGCATCTTGCAACCGAATGGGGGCTAATGCGTATAGGTTTGTAAACGATGTATACAAGCTGGAAACAGTGCTGGCTTGTTATGGGACAAGTTTCGCACCTCTTGGTGAACCTAAGGGTTGGAAGAAGCATAATGGTCCTATTCTCCATCCTAATGTGCACATGATTAGGAAGCCAGGAAGGCCACGAGTTACAAGGATTCACAACGAGATGGATTGGCCAAGGGAGGGTGCATCACACCAAGTGTGTAGCAATTGTAACCAAGCGGGAGATAATGCATCAACCTGCGGTGGCCAAGCTAGTGGGAGTGGGAGCAACCGAAGAGGGAGTGGTGGCCAACGAAGTGCGAAAGGTGGTAGAAGAGGAGGTAGAGGTAATAGACGTGGCTGAGAAGTTTGTTCAAATGTAGCAGTTGTTGTATTTCTTTCGATTTACCATGTAGAAGTTGCTGTATTTCTTTCGATTTACCATGTAGAAGTTGTTGTTTGAAGTTGTAGTTTGGTATGTAGTTGTTATGGTTTTTATCGTTAATAAAATAATAACATAAAAACAATAATAGTCCACATAATAGTCTCAAGGAAGTACATAATAATAACAATCCAAAAATAATAGTCTACATAATAGTCTCACTAACGACCACCACGACGACCACCATGCTCCACCACTATATGGCCGCCAGTACCACACCTCGCAGGCACCCTGTTACGTGGAGGTCTACCATCATACTCCTGGGGCTGATCTCCCTCGACACCACCATCCTGATCCTGTGTACCAAACATATCATCCTGCTGAGACCGAATCTGCTCCTCATGTACACCGCCACCATGCTGCTGAGACTGGAGGTGCTGCTCATAATTCCACATCGTCTCCTGAAATGTCTCATCATCCTCTAGGATGTCCCACAGGTCGGGAGACGAGGCTTCTCTAGTAACACCACCTGAGGCCATGTTTCCCATCGTAGCATGTTGCGGTGTATGGAAGCTATCCTCTGCTGGTAGAAGCTCGAAGACGGATCTGACTGAAACTGCTGCCACCAAAGCTTGAAGGCGGATCTGACTGAAACTGCTGCCAAAGCGGAGGCTGAAAGCTCGAGGGCGCATCTGACTGAAACTGCGACCGTAGCGGATTAAACTGGAAGCTCCTCGTAGTAGACCGGGTTAGGTACATCACGATGCTCACGTCGTTGTCTACGTGGCCTATGCACCTGTCTGAACTATGGCTCTGAGACGACCCAGCCCGGTGTCGGATCAGTACGCTCTGGCCAGGCAGTCATTACGGGCTGATCATAATGGGGCTGTACAGGTACTGTGAGATCAGGGTATCTACGCCGCTCAAAACCTAGAGTAGCAACCCCGGATGCCATAATGTTGGCCAAGTCCTCACACTGGTCGGGGGTCAACCCTCCAGCACGTACACCGTCACGCAAACTCACCTCAGCATGCTCGAAAGTGTCGTACTAAAAAACACCAAAAAAATGTCAGATATTTCACACAGTTAACAACAAATTCAAGACAAATACAAAAAAAATATTAAGCAAACAAATCAATTAACTAACCAAAGCCTCCGCTCCAGCTCCTCTCCGTGTGCTGGAACGCCTGGTGACATCTCTATACCACTCCATATGCTCCGAGTAGTAGGCTAACTCCTCATCAGTGTATGGAGCCGTCGCTACAAACTCGTGTCGACGGTTCCAGAAAGCAAGCGACTCTCTGGAGGCGTGTACCAACTGCTGCCCACGCGATGGCCCGCGAGTATTCTGATGAAGAAAAAACCTAACCTCAGCCTCAGGATGTGGCGGCTGAGGCTCATGCTGCCTCATGCCAAACTGCTGGAGCACGCGGTCTGGATGATGCCACATCACCGATGAAAAGCAGTTAAGTGGCACTACTGCTCGAAATGTCTCAGACTGTATCACACTACCTCTGAGATGAAGTGCTCTCTCAAGGTAAGGTTGCCACTACATATAAAAATTAACGTTATTATCCCTAAATCTAAAAAAAAACAAATGAAAACTATTCTATAAAATGGAATGTTATATACTAACCACCACGGTGTCCATCGCGTCAAACCACAGCTTGTACTGGAATAGATAGTCACCATACTGACGACTGTTGGCCGGAAGCCATCGAAGACCACGTGAGGATGCATCCTCAGAAATCTGTGCCCTCGTCTCTGAATGTCGAGGTGCCAGATGTGGGAATCGCTCCCAAGCCCAGAGCTGCAGTAGGGCGACCCATCCACCAAGGTCACCGCCTAGAGAAGTGCTGGAATGCGTAATGTGCAAAGCCGACCTACCCATCTCACGGTACAGGTAGGATAAAACAGCAGCTCCCCATGCGAACCATTCAGCTCTCTGCCAATCCTCAATCAGAAGTAGGTACTGTAGGTGCACCGTAGCTCCAGACCGATGCGGAAAAGTACAACTCCCATCAGAGATAGAGCATAAGCTCGTGCAAACTGCTCTATAACCTCCTGTGATGCATTTCCCGGCAGATGAGTGAATTCATCCCTCAGCCAAACATTCCTAACGACACCGGCACCGCCTGAAAGATCAGCCGGAACCCGTCCTAACAGTCTCAAACAGATCGCTGACCACTCCTCATCTGGTATATCAACTACGACGGCATCACCGTAGATCGCCAGACCGGACAGTGTAACAACGTCCTCTAACGTGATCGTGATCTCACCAAACGGTATATGGAAGGTCGACGTCTAGGGTCGCCACCGGTCTACGAGAGCAGTAATCAAACTCGCATCGGAGTTAATAGGGACCAGGGGCACAACACTAAACAAGCCAGTCGCTTCGAGATATGGCCGATAAAGCTCATGGTACATCACTAAATTGGTCGTACCTCGAACATGGTAAGATCGATCACCAGCCTATAGTGCACAAAACTTATATTAATTCAATTTCATTCGTAATAATTATAATTTTCACCTAATAAATTCTAATCTATCTAATCTAATCTCAAATTATAATAATTTCAAAAAATTTGGATCGTAATCCTATTCTAATTTCAGTACAGTTCAGTTCAGTTCACCAACCAAAATAATCTAATTAGCTAATTAATAACTTTACATGAATAATTATCAAATACTTACCTCGTTTTCCCAAACTGAGTCGATACGATGTTGGCCATGTCCCCAAAGAAGTACCGGATCGACCGGAGCTGGATCAATTGTCGCCGAGGGTAGTCTCATCGAATAAGGGTCCATAAGCCTAGGAACTGCAAAAACAAAGAAACAAAAACATTAATTAAAAAAATACTAAATATTAATTAAAAATAAAAAAACCCGCCGCCGGCGAGACACTCGCTGCGAAAACGGCCGCCGACTCCACGGCCTCACCGACCTCTCCCCCTCCCTCTGCCGGCGACTGGCTCGTCTTCGTCGGACGACATATCTGTCGGGCGGTGGCGCTTCTGTCAGCTGCGACGGCGCCTGGCTCTGCGGCGGCGGCGCTTGGGTCTGAAGCGGCGGCGCCTGAGTCTTCGGCGGCGGCATCTGTGAATGGCTGGGGCTGCGTGGACGGCGGATCTGGTTCGGGAGAGGTTTGGGGGGGGGGGGGTGTTTGTGGTGTGGAGGAGGAGGAAGAAGAAGAAGATAAGACTCTTATCTTATCCCCCATTTAAAATAAAAGGGCTCAGGGCAGGGGCGCCTCAGACTGGTTTTAAAATCTAAAATCGCGGCCCTGCCTCAGTCTCAGGTGGCCCCGCGTCCATCTTTACACAAAAACACAATATCTGTGTCAATATTTTTTAATCCGCAATATTAGTGATAATTAAAAAAAAATATTTGTGTCATTTATCCGCAAAATGCATCGATATAAATTTGTCATATAGTTACAAAATCATAGAAAACATAACAAAAACTACTAAAAATGCATTTATATAAATTGGAATATACAAAATATATGTCCTTGAGAGCACTATAATTTTAGTGTTATCAGGTACCCTAATATTCAAAGACCTTGTTCTAGAGGGCCTCCCGGCGCACCCCATTGGTCGACCCTATTGTTAGGTCGCGGATATTGATTAGTTCGGTTAATCATAGAAACCGAAAACTCAATGAGGTCTTTCTCTTGAAACCAAAATCGAACTGTAAATGAGTTTTACCAGTTTTGATTAAGACCCTTTAACGGTTCGATTTAGTCTAAATGAGAGCCTATAATATTTTCAATCCCAATAATACGGGTTATTGGAAGCAGTCTAATACGAATTTTACATTATGAGCTTACACAAAACCTCAAGTGAAAATTATGTTATGGGTTTGAAGTTTTCACCTTTTACTGCCATTAACATAAACTTTTCCTATCAAATCCTCTAATACTATACCGAGAACTTGTTAATCCAAACATAAACTCAATTATGCACATCATACTTTCGAGAAATTTTACAATGCTATATAGTATTGGTGCTATAGGATTTTGTCTTTATGGTACAACTTAAAATTGTACATTTACGTTATGGTACAACTTCAGATTGTACCTATACTTTTTGTGCAAATTCTTTTATGGTACAACTTGAACTTGTACTTTTATGTGATGGTACAACTTCAAGTTGTAAAGTTGTACCATAACATAATGGTACAAATTGCTTTATGGTACAACCTAAACTTATACATTTAATGTTATGGTACAACTTTAAGTTGTACATTAAAGCACCAATACTATATAGCATAGTAGAAGTGATCCATACTTTCTCTTTTTACTCTCTTCTAATTTCAAACTGTTCCTCACTGGCTGATAGCGAGACTGCAAGAGTACTCTTTACTTAATACTCTCCATGATCCAAGACATAGTGCGATTGGGGTATGTAGAAGAGTTTATAGGTGCGATCTAACTTTTTTGTTGAGTTGTTACCCATTAAACCAAAACCATACTTAAAAGGGTCTATAATGTGCATAAATGGCCTTTTAAAATTACGTAGTGATGTTTGGATTGTAATCACGATGAAGTTTTGGAAGCAATGACTTTGTTATGCAATTAGTTAATTAGATAGTGACTTGGGTCACGCCAGCCATAATCTCAACTCTTCAAAACCTCTCTCTAAGTCAATTCCTTGTTGACAATGATTAAACACCAAAACAAATTATGGCGGGCGGGCTGTGAAATCTACATTCCATCCGATCCCAAACCCTAATCATGTCAATTAATGTAATAATTTGGTGGATTACCAACGTGAAGAATCAACATATATATGACCTTTCTATGAGCTATCTTTAATTAAAGAAAACATTTTCATTTATAGACGTTGAAATATTAAAAAAATAAATCATTCTAGATATTCTAAGTTTATGGATAAACGGTGCAACTGCTTATTTTTATGACATAACCAAAATTACTTATCGAAAAATAGTTATTGAATCACACAGAAATTGCAATACACTTCTACTATGCTATATAGTATTGGTGCTTTAATGTACAATTTAAAGTTGTACCATAACATTAAATGTATAAGTTTAGGTTGTACCATAAAACAATTTGTACCATTATGTTATGGTACAACTTTACAACTTGAAGTTGTATCATCGCATAAAGGTACAAGTTCAAGTTGTACCATAAAAGAATTTGTACAAAAAGTATAGGCACAATCTGAAGTTGTACCATAACGTAAATGTACAATTTTAAGTTGTACCATAAAGACAAAATCTTTTAGCACCAATACTATATAGCATTGTAAAATTTTTCTTATAGGTTGTGGTTATGATCTTATGAATATGTTGAGGGTAGTAATTACTAATTAGGAAGAGTTAATAAGTTTGTTGGGTTTGTTAAAAGTCCGATAGCAATATATCTAAATAGGTTGTTAGATCATTAGGATAGATGACATTAGTTTGTTGTGTCAAGCATTGATAACAAAATTAACTACGTTTTATTTACCAACAAAATTAACTACGCTTTGATATCGTATTAATAAGAGTGATATCAAGTAATTAAAATGTCAAGCATTCCAACATAGATATAAAAAAAAGAATCCTTTTCGAAATTACTTGAAATTATTTGTATCCGGATATTTACTCCAATCAACAGTCTAGTCAAACGAGGATGAAGTCTATATCATTCTTGACGAACATGAAGGCTCAAGTCTATATCCTTTTATAATTTTTTTTTATCATTCTGTTTGCGTCTTTTGCTTGTCAAACTTTTCACAAAACTTCCCGCTAGTTGCAAAACAATTTATTTCAGCAATACTTCGGTTAAATACGAACTGCCGCTTATAATTCTTGTTAACCTTATTATTGTGTTGGTCGGTCATAACCTCTCCGAACTTATCTTAGACGAATGAAATACAAATTCAAATATACAACACATCATTTGTGTGGTAAAAATACCGCAATTCTATGCGTCTATATATACAACAAACAAACAAAACTAAGCCCCACACTATCTCTGCCAAAAATTGGCGGTATACAATACGATCATCCGCATATATATTACAAATGAAATAATCAATTGGACCCAAAATAAAATAATTGAGGGAAAAGGTTTATTTTATGCTTTTCGGCTGCTGCTTTCATTCACGGGGAAATAATCCAAGTGGGAGGTGAAATAAAAGTGAGGATAGTACATTAATAAAGCAAAAGGGAGGAGAAGCCTTTAATAATTAGTATGAATGAATTGTAACAAAAGTACACAAATACAACCAACATTTAAACAAATCCACAAAACATGTCAAGTTGAAAACCTCATAAATTCAACCATCATAACCGGCGAAATCAACACACAAAAACCATGTAATTCAATCATTAAATGAATTATGTCCAACACAAGAACCGGAAATTAAATTTTACAAAGGTAAATTTTTTATAGATAGAGAACTTCATTTTCATTTCTGACAAAATTATATCCAAACAAATTGTAAGTCACCATACTAAATTAAGACACTTACAGCGAAAATTTGGAAAATAGAGATATATATATATAGTCTTTTTTTCTGTTTCTCCCCTTTGATCAGAGAGGTCCAGTGTGAGATGATAAGACACCAAAATATGTCCCCTTACAACCATACAACGTTTACTGCTTTCCTTCCATTCTCATTCCCACGCCCTCCATCCCTTTTCTTTTTTTCACAGTGTACTGTCTTCGTCTTCCCATTCTCATTCCATCATCATTCTGTGGACCTTCAACCTATCTCCTCACTCCCTCCCTCCATATTACCGGTACTTAGGGATGGCAATCAAACCCATGTCCACGGGTATCCGACCGTCCCCGACCCAGTCAAGGCAGGAAATCACCGCATTGACCGGGTATGGGTAAAATCCGCAAAAAGTTTGATGGGTATGGGGTGAGTATGGTTTTAGCCTCCCCCGCCCCATACCCATACCCGCCCACAAAAATATTTCTTCATATATGAAAAATATGTGAATCAATTTGTAACCTATCAATAATAGTGAATATAACTCAAGAAAAATATATAGTAGAAATGCAATTGAGTGGCCACCCAAATCAAAATCTAATTCTTTCTCTCAATTTTCTATTCACTCTTTCACTTTGTCCTCTTGTTAAGAATATTATGTTAGTTAATTATTACTTAATAGATGTATTAGAGTAGAGAATAATGATTTGGATGACATTGTACTCTACTCTTATATGGATTAATGGATGCTTTAGGATAAGATGCTTTGTATCGTATTAAAAATGATTGTCTCTTTGTTGACTTCATGATATAGTAGGTGCGTTTAATGTTATAATTGAAAATCTATATGTAAAATATTCGATATTATAATGCTGGATGTACAGGGCGGGTATTACCCATGGGTACCCGGCCCGAAATTCATGGGTATGGGGATGGGTTTGCAAAACCTTCCCCCGCATGGGTATGGGGTGGGTATGGGTATAGATATTTGAAAGCGGGGATGGGGATGGTTTAGGCAAACCCGCCCCATTGACATCCCTACCGATACTGTTCTTCAAACGAAAGTTTTCATATATGAGTTTGAAGTTATCGAGATTCGAACAAAAGACTTCTCGATTACAAAAGGTTCTGATACATAACAATTAGGTAATTCCAATAACTCGAGCTATCGAAAGAGGTTCAATTATGGATCATATACCACTTACGAACATCGAGATATATTCATATAAAAACTAATAATCGACATCACAATCAATATATTCCATTGTTTGCTTGATTTTTCGTGTTTTGTTGAATCAGATAGAGATATCTAGGTATGTCGCGAGGGACTAGATATGCATGTGTAGTGTCAAGACTGTTTCTCTGGGGATCGGGAAATTGGAGCATTCGACAATACAAGAAAACGAAAGCGCACACACATGACACACGATTTACGTGGTTCACTAACACAATGTGTGTTTAGCTAGTCCATGGGCAGGAGAGAGCCAATTTTACTATACTTTGAGGAGATACATATTACAGAGGAGTATGAGAAGTATTTATAGTACTTCTCTTAGGTCTAACCCTAATCCAATATAGTAAATGAAAAGCAGTTACATACCAGGCCCAGACCACGACCCAAATAACATTGAGCCCGTACATTGCCCCTGGGCTCCACTCATTGGACAACGAGACTTCATGACTTACAGTCGTAGCAGCTGATAGTACAATTCAAGTCATATCAACATGTAGTTATGCTTGACTAATTTTTTGCCCTAATGGATTTGGCCCGTAAGTTGGCCTGCATGCTTCAAGTCTTTACTTCTTTTGTGTCTTTCCTTTTCTTGTACCCTGTTTTGGCTATGAACGTTTCAATCATTTGTTTGTTCTTTTGCAATCTTGCACAATCCAAGTGATCATCATCATCAACAACATAATCCTGGACATCTAATCTTCCAGTCGGCCTGCCAGGAAACATAATTAAGTATAATTGCTCGATCTTAACTTGGATCTCGATCAAATCATATCGGACTACCCCACAGCATGCCACTGCCAGGCCTAACTATATATCCAACTCGATCCAGAGAGGTTAACGAACTTATTGTGTTCATAAGTCTGCTTATAGTCCTTGAATAAAGGAAGACAAACGAATCACTACTAATCATGGGATTGCTCCGAGGTCAAATATAGTAATGATGCCTCAATGTCTAATTAGCAAAACTGATAGAACATAGATCTAGGTGTGCGATTTAGGGTTTGAGATCGATATGAGAATTGGAGATTTGGATGAGGAAGAACTGGGATTTAGGTTAGAGAGAAGCAGAGGTCGGTTCCCGGAGAGGGATGGTCGACGGCAAGAAGAGGAGGGAGAGGGGTTCGGCTAGGGTTGAGAGAGAGATAGACTTAGGGAATAATTATTGTGTTATTGGTTGACCTCTAACCTTCTCCTAACACAATATATAATCCGACTAATTCCCTCTAACTACCCGAATAATTAACCTAACCGAATAACCCCCAATAGTTCCCGAAATACCCAACATAACATCAAATATCCCGAATAATAATTAACTACAAATAAACTCCAAAAGAATGTGTTTCTTCGGGTGGGGGGAGATGGTGACAGGTAATCCTACTGATGGAGATACATTGTTGTTTGTGATATCATATTATCAGTTTTTGCTAAATCGTATCGTACTAGCGGATTGATCGAAACAATTCTTCTAAGCTCAAGCTGATATAAGATTTTGTCGATCGACAGGAAATGAATATAAAATCAGTAATTGAGTCTAATAAGTTGAATGGAGTCTTGCATTTATTCGAAGTTTTATTTGTGTAAAACTATAATACAAACAGTCAAAATCGGAGGAATACAAATAAATATTGAGTCAAACCAAGATGTAATGAGTAAGAACGGGATGGGACGGGACGGATAGGACGAAACTAGTGTGCTCATACCCCGCCCATGCTGCTGCTGATAGGTCAAGACCTACCCATGGTTGATCAAGCTGAATAATTTTCAACGAGTTCAAATTGTCATCTCTAACCATAATAACACTAATATCGTTACGACCCCCTACATCCTCCCTTTTAACATTAGTTTATGTTAATTTTCAACGAGTTCAAATTGTCATCTCTAACCATAATAACACTAATATCGTTACGACCCCCTACATCCTCCCTTTTAACATTAGTTTATGTTAACAATGACATTCTATCAATATGTTACTAATTAAATCACAATTGTCCCACTAAATATCATTTTACAAAATTATCTGTTATAGTCTACTTTTTTTTAACAGTGTTATATTCTAACAGAAACAACATGATATACGAATACGACCAGGAGGTTGTGCTTAGTTTGGTACTTAACTAAACATGAAAGCTTTCTATTGGGCGAGGTAATTAACCGCGGGTTCCATGAACCAATAATACACGCATATAATATGCTTAAGGAAAAAAACGTACTGGGATTCGAACCATGATCATTTCAAAGAAAAGTAAGGATCATAATCAATCACACTAAGTACATTTGTTGTATCCTTTTAAATTAAAAAGGTATAATAGCAGTGAGGAAAAAACCTTTCTCCCATTTCAAATTCCCTACTCCATGAGCGTTTGTAGGAAGGGTAGAATAGGCAGTGTCAATTTGTTTCTCTTTCCACTGTGGAACGAACCAACTTACCATACACATGCGGATTTAAACGGGTCCAGGAGTGTCAATTTTTTCTTTAACCCCTTTTATTTCTCCGTGGTGATAAAATATATATGAAAGGCAAAAAAAAAATACTCCCTTTTATTGGTAAAAATAAAAAATTTAACAATAAACTAATGCATGGTATCTGATGGGCTAACCGCTAACCATATTATAAAAGAGTTGAATGGGTCTGACCTACACGGGATTTGGTCATCAAGTAAAACAAATGAACATCATTGGTTTGTCATTCTAAAACAAACTATTTTCTCTGGCATAATATATATTATGCTATTATTTTATATCTTAGTGGCTAAAATATAATGTATTATAAAGTTATTCAATGGTTCATTCTCGACCAACCCAATTAGTCCAATTTTTATCATTTCAAATATATATTATATAATTATTTGATATCATAGTGATCAAATTATAGTGTATTTTATAGGGAATCGTTTGGTATTTGTTAGTAAAAAACTAAACAGAAAGATCTATTTGGTTATTTTAAACATTAAAACGATCTTAAACATTTTCAGTTCCTTTTGAATTTATATGGCTTTATTCCCGAATAAGTGATGTGCAAATGGCGAATTGCAGTCATCTCTTTTCTTTAACTATTTTTTATTTTCAAATAGAAAGTTTAAAAGTAAAGAATAATTAGAATTTGGCATGGATCGGTCAAACAGGCTGAATTTCAAGTTTTGCCCGTTTTGATCAATCCAAACCATTTTGGCAGGTGAGTCCGTGTTTACCACCATTTTCTAGGGATACGACAACGGCGGTTCCTATCCCAAATCGTGTTGTTCGTTCTTGATTTCCTTAGATTTTATCATGACCTGACAAAAACCAGAAAGCACAATGACGACAAGATGAAAGTTTTATAAAGTAAATTAATCGGCCAAAGGGCCGAGTAAAAGCTAGCAACGATTGTGAGATGCTCATTTCCCGAAAACCGACGGGATAGGTGATTTTTTATTCGATTTTCTGGAATTCGGTTTCTATAAAACTTACTCCACCTCATCATATTACCAGAAACAATATTGTTTCACAAGGTAACAAGTACTTGATTTTGGTTCATAAGACCGATTTTTTATTCGTTGCATCATTCATGTCTCTTTCCTGCTAAATTCACTATTTTTATTACGTGTTTCCCAAAAAAAAACTATACAACAATAAACTATACACCCCATTAAATTATCAAATTGCATACCTCATCTTCCTCCAGCCAACAGGCCGGGGCCTGCTAGTTGATAATTATGTACAATAATAATCATAAGCGGCTTTAATATTTAGCTTTTGGCACAAGTGTGATGTCATCTAAAGATTGCCAAGGACTAGCCCTACCCCTCTCCTTAGTTGAGCACCATTTAATGTATATGCATTATTGTTATTTGTAAATGGTTATAGCTATTTTATTTATGTTTCAAATTATTTGCAAGTCCTAACACAAAGTTTTTTTTTTTGCCAGTCCTGAACTTATAACCCTAACGCAAAAGTTTATTTGTAAGGATTATGTTTTTCGGTTATGAGATTTGGGTTGGTCTTAATTGAATTGGACATTTGACTTTTAACAAAACGACTACTAAACACGAGTTACACCTTTTTGTACATAGTTCAAACAAGTGTGTTCATTGTCTTTAATGATCTATGAGACAAAGCTTCATTAATTAAATTACTCCTATAGAGATTCAGTAAGAGCTCCAAAATTACAACTATGACTAAATTTGTAGAGAAAAGGATAAGAAAAGAAAAAATTGATATTAGATTGTCTGATGTGAATTCGGCGGACCCTTTATCTGTCATCTCCGCCTCCTATTTATTGCCACTAGAAGTAACTAGTAACTACTTTGAGAAACTGTTCAGTTAAGTGGTGGTTACCCTCTTAAGTGCTCTGATCATGTCCTAACAATGGTAGTGATACCCTCTTCATGGTAGCTCCTCCTTAGCTTTACTTGTCGGATGATAAAATGGGTAAGGCTTGAAAACCCTTATTGTCTCATGTGGGCGGGTGTATGGATCACCTTCATAAAAAAAAAATTAGTCCATCTGATAGCTAGTTCTTAGTTACCGTCAATGTGCAGTAATTACTTAAAGACTATATACATGAATGTAAAATCAGAGAAACGACGGTTTTTGTCCCAAACCACTGCTCGTTTTTATCTTTCTCGTCTTCTTACTTGAGCAGCAAACCCTAGCAATCTCCAAATGGCCATGTTCAATAATCTTTATCACAATGTGTAGCTCCACTGCTATTATTGATCAAAGATATAGTGGAATAACCGAATCCAAATACTTAGGACTTAAAAGTTTAATTTAAAGACTCAACACGCGCAAAATGAAAAATCTTGTTATTAGTGGGACACTAATGGCGCGACTTGTTGGTTAATTAATCAAAAGTGCTTATTAACGAGGTCCTTACCTAGCTAATCCATATTATGTCAAACGCCATCGACGACGTCAAGATCCGACCGGGACCCAGAAAATATCCGGTGGGGGAGACTCTAAGTCAAGTTGCCGTGTGGCGCAAAGTGGGTTGCATTGCATGAATACGGTGGCCTAGTTTTCTGTTTCGTGATAAGTTCCAAAGTTATATACAACGGTGTGATCGCTGGCTCTAGCCTCTATGTATATAATTTATGTATGTATATAGATGGCTTCGCCGGAGAGTCTCGTTTCCGTTCTCCATTTACTACTCCCTCCCTCGCGTGCTACCTACTCAATCCCAGCGCCGTTTCCTCCGCCGTCCGATTATCTCCGCACTTTCCGATCAGGCGGCTGAAGATTCCTAGGAGAAGAGTTGGCATCATTAGTAAATACGGACATTTGTTCAACACCTTAGGAAAATTCCACATCGACAAAGTACATGAGAGATTCATAGTTCGTAAGTAGAAAATCGACCTTAACCGACAAGACACGTTTTGGGGTGTAATGGAGAAGTTCTCACAAAAACTCCGAAGTTAAACGTGCTCAGTGTGGAGTACAACAAGGATGGGCGACCTTATGGGAAGTCACCTTGAATTGCACCCCAAGTCGAAAACAGTGAGGGTCGATGCCCAAAGCGGACAATATTTTCGTCAGGAAAAGGTTCGATGCCCATTAGTTGCCAACAATTAAGGACTAGTTAGTTATATATGCATAATGCATAGTGCGATATATATTTTGCTCAGTGTGGAGTACAACAAGGATGGGTAACCTTATGGGAAGTCACCTTGAATTGCACCCCAAGTCGAAAACAGTGAGGATCAATGCCCAAAGCGGACAATATTTTCATCAGGAAAAAGTTCGGAATGTTAAAATGTCAGCCCATAAAAATAAAACACCATGCCCATTATTTGCCAACAATTAAGGGCTAGTTATTTCTATATGCACAATGCATAGCACGATATATATTTTGTAAAATCATACCGGAAGTCTTCGTATACGAATAGTTAATGATATTTGAAATTTTATGCGAAAACAGTAATTTAATTGTGAATCAAACATTTCATACCAAAAAAATTGTTTACTGGTTTACTCTCAAGTAGTAAGTTTTATGGTCGAGCTGTCCATATGATATATGATTTAACAAAATATATCATTTGATCCAACTTGACTCTCGTTCAATCGCGGATGTTTTATATATATCCGGAGTTGTCCAGTGTATGCGTATGTGGTGGATCCGAAAGTAACATGCAAGCTTATATCTTAGTATACAAATAGACGGGACACTATATGTGTTGTATTTTCTCCTAATCACATGTTGGATAGGGATGTACTTTCAAACTTGCGTCCTCGTACGACTTCTACATTTTTCTAACTTGCACTCAATGCACAATAAATATGAGTATAGACGTACGACGCTCAACCAAAACATTGAACCATTTTCGCTCACGTTTAGGCCATGGAGAATCGGATTTAATTATTTGATGATGAACTCAGAAACGTTATATATACGGGATGCTGTTGATAATTAGTGATGGCAATGGGGCGGGGCGGGGCGGGGCGGGTACCTCAATTCCCATGTTCCGCCCCAAGCTACTACGGGTCGGGGCGGGTCGACCCACTCTTACATGTTGTTCAAAAAAAATACAAGTAAATTTTACATTTTACAATAAAAAGCAGGGAAAAACACTTTAAGAATGAAAAATATTGATAATAGAATGGATAATTGAGCCTAACAAGTTGAAAGATCGACTCTAATTAGTTGAAGAAAAGTCAAAATAGGAGAAATATGTATAGATATTGTAAGAAATTTAGATAAAATGAGTCTAGAACGGGCCGGGGCGGGGCAGGGCGGGTTGGAAGTAGATACCCATGCTCCGCCCTACGCTACTGCGTGTCGGGTAATACCCGCCCCATCGCAGATCAGGTCGGGTAATACCCGCGGGGCGGGTTGAAATTGCCATCACTATAATGATAATACCTTTCATGACGAATTTGTGCAAATCCCATTTTGGTGCTAGCTTCCACTATGGAGAATTTCCTTCCCTTTCATCTCCCGACCAACCCTACGTAGCCAGTAATATATTATGCCGATCTTTCCCTTTTGCAATTCTTCAACGTATGGGCACGTCCAATCTGCGCATTATAATAAATTTACAACACAATTAAGTGATATTATATTGATCATTATCTGAATCCTTACAGTGTGATTCTAGGCTAGCTAGGGTTGGAATGTTCAATATCGTGAATATAATCCCAAAAGAGAGGAAAAAGCCGCCATTTCGTCCTTATCCTTTTGCCATGCTTTTTGCTAATGAAGGGTACTAATAATAAGTTGGCTTAATCCCTTTTTAACCTAATCTTATCATCATTGTGGAATATTACTAGCCTTTGTTTGAAAGAGAGGAATGAGCTAACATAGTTTTGCTTGAACGGATAAAATATGGAGGAAAAAGAGTTTTCGTATATATAGTTGGTGTCTTCTCTCACGCACGAATAGATAAAAAAAACCACAATGAAAGATTAGAATTATACAAAAATAAGAGTAACGGTCGTAGCGATAGGACTAGCAAAGTGGAAGTCCTCCCTTCTTTTATTTTATCATTCTCTGGTAAAATCCGATGTTTTCTATATCCACCTGACTGATTGATGATGGAGCGATTCATCTAATCCGTGAAGAAAAAAATGAATTGATAGTCATATTCATATTTAATCTATCCCACTAGGCACTAGCACTATCTCTATGTCCTATCTCAAGGCTCAAGCTAGACTTCGTCAAATCCTTACTTAATATTATAGAGATTCAAATCCAATTTACTGCCACATCAGCACATGGCTGCTCCTCAACATCTCCCATCATCGGAGGAAAAACGGAAAATTGGTTAGCTTCTTTCACAGAAAAAAAAAAAAAAAAAAAGAACCCTACGTTGGGACGCTTTGTATTTCTTCTCGGCCCAGCAGATGTCCCTTGATGGACACGGTCCAATTTGGTTTCTTCCCAATTTATGTTTTGTATTTATGCATGAGATTATCTTTATTTTGAAGTTCTTACAATTTGATTTCTTACCAATTGCCGTGGGTTTCTATTTTGAAATTCTTTCAATTTGTACAAAATGAAAGTTATTATTTTTTCGCATAAAATAATATATTATTTTGGTTTTGGTTGTGTTGTTTTCGCCTAAGTGGATCGTTAATTCAAACTTTGATTTTGGCCTAATTGATTTCTTACCAATTGTTGTTTGTATTAAGGCATCAGACTCGGTCGATGAATAAGGTGTTACAAGACAGTATCAATTGAGTTGTATTGTAGTCGACAAATACCACTATTCAAATAGGTATTTGAGATTGGTTTCGGTATAACATTTTCAAGCACAGTGAAGGCCAATCAAGTCCTTAATTACTAGAACGGTAAGAATGAAACTATAGATGGTGTTTGTTCAAAGAGGACGACTTTACCAATATTTTGCTACTTGACTGGTAGTTTAACTTCCTTTAATTTTGAAATTTTCTATATATTTGGTGTTTCTCTTGATGATTGGATAATATCATTTCCCATAATTATTTTTAGGTTGCAACTACTTGCTAAGCTAAATGCTAAAGCTAAACGCATGGATAGAAAGATCCAAATATATTTTGCTAAAAAGTAAGAAAAAGTCATTTTCTATCGTTGTTCAACCATGTTGAAGGCTTTTCTCTTTGCCCTCTTTCGAGTAAATGTATATATTGTGCGGTTGTTATATGGAAAGCAGTAAGCACATCCCAATCTCTAAATTCAGGGCTTCAAAATTCACTCTTTGTTTTAAGAAAGGCAAAGTAAAACTTCCTCCGACTCGAGAGTCTCCAGAATTTTTAAAAGATCTATTGGAGTCAAACAATGAAGTTGCCAAGCACTTTGTGACTGTATCAGGATATATAATGGTGTCCTCTGTTTTAGCTCCATGGGTGGAAAGATTTATCACGCTTTGAGGGTGTCGGTTTATACGTTTTCTATTGGATGTCAAATTTATGATCAAATTGGCAGTCTATTAGCGGTGGTAGGTTCAACTACGAAGTTGGCTCAATTATACATTCATCAAACAGAGACAAAAACTGGGAACCGTCACCATGCAATCAGTACAAATAACGATTTTCACATTTCTTCACATGCACGCTCTTATGTCGTCCTTACAGGAGAAAAACTTCAATACTTAAACCATAAATGACATACATAAACTTCTAAAATCTAAAGACAAAAAAAAATCCTACAAAGAGCTATCTAATTCAATTACCTTCATCATAAACATCTGAAAATACAAATACGTGAAACAATAACAGCAACAAGACAAATTAGATTAACGATACAATCTATAAAAAAATCATATAAAAAATGTGCAAACAACAGCTAACTACTACATCTGTCATATGAGCTTTTTGAACTCAATCCATAAATACATTATGCCTCAGTTTTCAAACGCAACGCATATGTTCATAGTAAAAGTGTAAAACCAATTTAAGTCCTAAACTCAAATAGGAAGGACAACTAATGCGGAAGAAAAACAAACAAGACATATAAAATACAAGTACTATTGCATACGCCCAAAATAAATAAGAAAGAATATGATAAAATGACCGCAAAATAAAACAACAAAATAAAACGCAACGCCCAACGAGCGGGCAGAAAACTAGTTCATAATAATGAATATGAGGCTAGATTTATTCACTAATATGTCATTGTACATGTATCTGTTAATATGAAGAGAAAAATTAAAATCGGTTTAAGACTTTTCATCGATAATAGGCACCTCGAATAAAATTCTATTGTGGGCTTGAAATTTTCATCTAATATATGTAAACAAAAATAAAGTTATCTTAAAAAATCGAGTGGTTAAGATTAATATTAAATATGGACGTAGTAGGCACTCATACACCATATATCTAAAGTCTTTGGATATTTTACCAACATCGAAACCTTCTATTTAGTTTTGAATTGAAGACAAACAAATTGCTACAAATGTATCTAGCCGTGTGCATGTGCGAAAACACGCATGATAGAGAGAACAAGAATACCAAAATTCACATATCCACTCCACGTAGGAAAATCCATATAATTTGTCGATTATCTATCTACACAATAAATAAAAGCCAAATGAGAAAACTTGAAATTCCATTTCAAATTTCCTGCATCCAGAGTGAAAGTAGGAAGGACATTTTGGTCTTCACAATTATTTTTTTTTATTCATTAAAAAGACACTTACTAGGATTCGAACCATGACCACTTTTAAGAAAAGTAAAGATCATAACCTATCACACTAAGTACATTTGCTGCATATTTTTAAATTAAAAACATATAATCGCAGAGAGGAAAAAACCCTTCTCCCATTTCAAATTCCCTGCTCCATGAGCGTTTGTAGGAAGGGTAGAATAGGAAGTGTCAATTTTTTTTCTTTTTTCTCTGTGGAACGGGCCAACTTACCGTACACATGCGGATTTAAAAGGATCCAGGAGTGTCAATTTTTTCTTTAAGTCTTTTTATTTCACCGTGGTGGTAAAATATATATGAAAAGGCAAAAACAATACTCCTTTTTATTGCTAAAGAAAACAAAATTAACAATAAACTAATGCATGGATTCTAATGAGCTAACCGCTAATCATAAAATAAAAGAGTTGAATGGGCCTGACACGGGATTTGCTCATCAAGTAAAACAAATGAACATCATGGATTTGCTATTCTAAAAAAAGCTATTTTCTCTAGTATAATATATATCATGCTATTATTTTATATTTTAGTGGCTAAAATATAATGTATTTTAAAGTTATTCAATGGTTCAACCTCGACCTACCCAATTAGTCCAATTTTTATTATTTCAAATATATATTATGTAATTATTTGATATCATAATGATTAAATTATAGTGTATATTATAGGGAATTTTTTGGTATTTGTTAGTAAAAAACTAAACAGAAAGTTCTATTTGGTTATTTTAACATTAAAATGATCCTAAACATTTTCAGTTTCATTTCGAAATTCTATACTTTTATTTCCAAATCAGTGATGTGAAAATGGTGAATTGCAGTCATCTCTTTTCTTTCTTTATTTTTTATTTTCAAATAGAAAGTTTAAAAATAAAGAATAATTAGAGTTTGGCATGGGTCGGTCAAACAGGTTGAATTTCAAGTTTTGGCCCGTTTTGATCAAGTCTAATTTATAATCACATGGTTCCCTGATACCCGATAAAAATCTCAATCCAAACCAGTTTGGCAGGTGAGTCCGTGTTTACCACCATTTTCTAGGGATACAGGAACGTTGGTTCCTATCCCAAATCGTGTTGTTCATTCTTGATTTCTTTAGATTTTATCATGGCTTGGCAAAAAATCAGAAAGCACAATGATGACAAGATGAAAGTTTTATAAAGCAAATTAATTGGCCAACGGGCCGAGTAACAGCTAGCAACGATTGTGAGATGCTTATTTCTCGAAAACCGGCGGGATAGGCGATTTTTTATTCGATTTTCTGGAATTTGGTTTTTATACTTACTCCACCTCATCATATTACCAGAAACATTATTGTTTCACAAGGTAACAGGTACTTGATTTTGGTTCATAAGGGTGATTTTTGATTCGTTGCATCATTCATGTCTCTTTCCTACTAAAATTCACTATATCACGTGTTTCCAAAAAAAAAAAAACTATACAACAATTAACTATACACCCCATTACATTACCAAATTTCATACCCCACCTTCCTGCGGTCAAATGGTCGGAGCCCACGCTAGTACATTAAGGAAATGAAATGATGTACACGTCTTGTTATTTCCCTTCATTGTTGGTCTTCCTAATTATTATTGAAATTATGAAATGTTGAGGATTTGGTTAAACCGGACTAATGGGTCAAATCAGTTTGAGAACAAATTGGTTTTGGATTAGACAACCAAATCAACTATTTTAATTTTATGAAGATACACATCCATTTGTTTTAGTGGTGATTGGTGGCATAGGCGGAGCCAAGGGCAATGGGATGTGCCCGGGGACACAGGTAATTTTTGGTAACATAAAATACCTCATATATGTGCTAATAAATGGTTGCACTCATCATCTTTATGTGATATAAAAGTGTTTTATCACTACACTATATGTTATTTCAAGTTTAAAAACTAATATAAATCAATCTATCATACTTTTAAAAAAAATTCACAATACCTGATAATCGATCTTTCTGTCTTCTGAAGTTAGTTTTGACTATACTTGTTGCAACTGCAAGTGTAGAAAGAACATTATCAACTTTGAGCTATTCTAAAAACAAGTTTCAAAATCGAATTGCGACCAATTTGCTAATGATTGCTTATAGTTGGATTCA